GGAGCCAACGTTAAAAGAGGGGGATAAAGTCTATCTTGTTCGAAAAAACATCGACACAAAGAGACCAAGCAACAAACTGGACCATAAGAAATTAGGGCCATTCAAAATCAAACGAGTCAAAGGACCTTTGAATTACGAACTGGCGCTACCAAAAACAATGAACATCTTCCCAGTATTCCACATATCCTTGCTCGAACCAGCACCACCGGGAGCACCACCAGCCCCGCTTACAGAAATCCAACCAATCAACCCTAACGCCGAGTACGAGGTCGAAAAGATTCTCGACTGCAGATATGTTAGAGGCAAGGTCAAGTACTTGATAAAATGGTTGGAATACCCACACTCGGAAAATACATGGGAACCCAGAAAAAACCTCAGCCAGTACCTGGAGGAACTTCAGGAGTTCCACCACCAAAACCCAGGCCTGCCCACATCTCGTGGTCGGCAGGAAAGGCCTCGAAAAAGGCTGGGTCAAGACCCAGGTCGAGGGCAGGGCCGGAAGGATCAGAAGTAGGAAGGGATGCCAACCCGGCAACCTCTCCTTCTGTCCTGGTCTTCGCTTCTTGCTCTTCCTTCTCTTTCCTTTCCAACTCCTCAGCAGCATCCAACTCGTCTAGGGAGCTGAGACCAGCCGCTATCNGCCAACCTGGCAACCTCTCCTTCTGTCCTGGTCTTCGCTTCTTGCTCTTCCTTCTCTTTCCTTTCCAACTCCTCAGCAGCATCCAACTCGTCTAGGGAGCTGAGACCAGCCGCTATCATCTTTTGTTCTCTCTCGTCTAGAAACTCGAGCTGTTTCTTTAGACGAAGGATCTTTGCGAAAGCCTCTGCTTCCTCGGCACGAACTTTCCGCCGCTGCTCCTCAAGGTCGTTCCACTCGCGAACCTCCGGCATGCGGTTCATCTGTCGAACGTCGCAAGTCTTTCCAAGCTTAACACACTCAATACAGCGCGTGTACTTTGGGTCGCGAGGCGAGACGCAGTTTTTCTTGTTTTTTGAACAACGGGTACAAGGAGCCATGCTTTTCTTTCCAGTCTTGCTTAAGGCGCCGGCAAGAGCAATACAGCGTCGGTCGGAGGGACGTTCGGGTGGCATAGTGTAAAAGGGAAGAAGGCCGCTGGCCTTCTGACGATATTTCCTAGGTTGTACTTANGCGCCGGCAAGAGCAATACAGCGTCGGTCGGAGGGACGTTCGGGTGGCATAGTGTAAAAGGGAAGAAGGCCGCTGGCCTTCTGACGATATTTCCTAGGTTGTACTTAAGCGTAGGGACACGCTAGGCTGAGAAGGGGATAGTGTCACGAATCACGTGCGTAGCATGTGATAAGTGAAGAAACAGGCGGCGTCCTGACAGGTTAAAGCACCATCACACACTCTTATAGCAAATAGGGATGCTTAGGCTAGCTAAGCGATCCAGGGATTTCTTAGCATCTGTATCACGTGACCAGTTTTGATCGCTGGGTCGCGAGCGACTGCAACGACCAGGTCGTCTTGGTCGCGGCGACCATCGACGATCATGAGAACGAAGGTTCTATATAAGACTGGCACGTCTGCCATTTAGATAGGAGCTTCGTGCTCAACTTAGTTATCAATCTTATCATATTAGTTTGACATCTTTGATACAAGTAACGAGTTCACTTCCAAGTGAACAACCCGATAGTCTTCTTCTTATCATAGCATACCAACCAGCGAACACCCAGCCAAGTTTAGTTAGCCAGTTTGAGTATTCGTTACAAGTATTTATTCTATATATATATAGTTATTCTTGCTCTTTATACTTATTATTATCTATATATTTATATATACTATTCCTGTTCCTATAATAGGTTAGTAGTAATACTTATATATTAATTAGATCTCTATATTTTATTATAAGAACCTTTATATTTAATTCGTATATTAACCTCTTAATTAAGCCTTAATAACTCTATATACTAACTTCTAGACTAATAACCCTACGACTTCTATATCCTTTATATTTAGATAAGATACTACTCTAAGGTAAGGTAGTATACTCTTACGAGCTATTACTATATAGGCTCCCTAGTATATAAAGTCTTCGAGTTAAGACCTCGAATTATACTATACTAATATAAGCGCTTTTATCGAGTTCTAGTATAAGAGCTAGAATCTTTAATTATAAATATAGTTATATAAGCTATAACTATAGTACTTTAGTTAAAGAACCTTTCTACTCCTTCTAAACTAACTGTAACGAATACTCAAACTGGCTAACTAAACTTGGCTGGGTGTTCGCTGGTTGGTATGCTATGATAAGAAGAAGACTATCGGGTTGTTCACTTGGAAGTGAACTCGTTACTTGTATCAAAGATGTCAAACTAATATGATAAGATTGATAACTAAGTTGAGCACGAAGCTCCTATCTAATGGCAGAAGTGCCAGTCTTATATAGAACCTTCGTTCCCAATATATCGCTACCATCGCTATCGATAAAATCGATCATCGCTTTTATCGATTTCGATCAAGTCGATATAGTCACGTGATTTCTGGTCGCTGAGAAATTCCTTGGATCGTCTGGCTAGCCTGATGCAGCCACCCGATCCTTTCTTTTGGTTAAATACCAATGGGTTCTCCTGTCAGCGAAGTGCTGTCTGGGCCCATGGTCCCAAATGTCACCTGACGATTTCGTAATCGTGACACTAACCTACTAAGCTATAACTATAGTATATTAGTTCGAGAAACCTACCTCTACTTCCGAAGTAATAAATAAACTAACCTATAAACCGGTATATAATTCTACTTCTACTTTTACTCTCGCTTTTACTTCTACCTAGTAACGAGTAGAAGTTATAAATAAGAGGTATTATAACTCTCGCTTAAACGTAAAGGAATAGATCTCGATAAAAGAAATAAGCTAACGAGTTAAACTCGGGATAAGTTCTTATTAAAGGGAGGCATCTATAATAGCTATATAAACGTTATAGATTATGTTAGTATCTATAGTATTTATTCTATATATATATAGCTATTCTAGCTATCTTCGCTCTTTATACTTATTAATATTTATATATTTATATATACTATTCCTATTTCTATAATATTTATACCTTATAAAAAAGAAGGGGGTTTTTAAAACTATCCTAGAATAGTTACTAAGTTTTAGTTATTCGAGAACTATTCTAAGATAATCATATAATTTAAGATAGTTTTAATATAAAACTATTAATAATTATTATTATTAAGCTATATAGCAGTAAATAGATAGTTATATGATATAACTATTATAAAACTATTTCTTTCTTGTAACTATTATAGAATAGTCTTTTATATTTCTTCTAAGATATAAGAGTTATATATAAACGTAGTATAGAACTTAATATTACTCTTGAAACTTTAATTTTAATACTATATAAAATATAAATATAGATTTAATTAATTCGAGTAAAGTTTACTTATATATATTATATATACTACCTATATTATACTTATAGGTTATTATATATACTTTATCTCGCGAGTATATAACTCGTTGTGACGACACGTACGATGTGTTGCTCAAGGAGCGTCCAAGGTGTAGGTTATGGAATCGTAGAACTGTCTATTCGAAGATTCTAAGCTGAGGAGAAGAGGAGAGCTCGAGAGAGCTTGAGTCTAAATACAATGTGGTTCGCTAAGGAAGCCACATGATATGAATTGCACGTGACGGTCAGAACCGTCACACTAGTAGATAGGTATATAAGTAAGTAGATAAGTAAGTAAGTAAATGTCACAAATCACGTGCTCACGTGACAAGTGAAAGACCAGGCGGCGTCCTGACAGGTCAAGCATTATTGAATACTCTTATAGCAAATGGGATCGTTTAGACTGGCTAAGCGATCCAGGGATTTCTCTTGGTTAGTATCACATGACATAGTCACATGACCGTTAGAGCTTGCAGGAGCTTCGGTTGGAGCTTGAGGATCTTGGGCTCCCTCCATGTCACGAATCACGTGTTCACGTGATAAGAGAAGACCAGGCGGCGTCCTGAAAGGTCAAGCACTATCAGTACTCTTATAGCAAATAGGGACGCTTGGGCTAGCTAAGCGATCCAGGGATTTCATTCGGTTAGTATCACGTGATGGGGTCACATGATCGTTGGAGCTTGCAGGAGCTTGCGTTGGAGCTTGAGGATCTTGGGCTCCCCGTAGGCTCCACGAGAACGAAGGTTCTATATAAGACTGGCACTTCTGCCTTTAGATAGGAGCTTCGTGCTCAACTTAGTTATCAATCTTATCATATTAGTTTGACATCTTTGATACAAGTAACGAGTTCACTTCCAAGTGAACAACCCGATAGTCTTCTTCTTATCATAGCATACCAACCAGCGAACACCCAGCCAAGTTTAGTTAGCCAGTTTGAGTATTCGTTACACTCCAAGCTCTAGAAGAACGAAGATTCTATATGTCACGAATCACGTGTTCACGTGATACCTGTCATAATAAGAGGCGCAACCCTCGACAGGAACATCCAGGTTTCTTATAGCAAATAGGGATCGTTTGGAGTAGCTAAGCGATCCAGGGATTTCTCTGTATTGTTATCACGTGATATATGTCGCTAGACGGGGCGACTGGTCTACCAGTCTAGCAGCGACCGAGCGGCGAGTCTAGCAAGCTAGCACAAGAGAACGAAGATTCTATATAAGACTGGCACGTCTGCCATTAGATAGGAGCTTCGTGCTCAACTTAGTTATCAATCTTATCATATTAGTTTGACATCTTTGATACAAGTAACGAGTTCACTTCCAAGTGAACAACCCGATAGTCTTCTTCTTATCATAGCATACCAACCAGCGAACACCCAGCCAAGTTTAGTTAGCCAGTTTGAGTATTCGTTACACTATATATGACTGGCACCTCTGCCATTAGATAGGAGCTTCGTGCTCAACTTAGTTTAGCAATGTAGTTATTAAGTTATTACTTCTTTGTTAACAAGCGACGAGTTTACCTCCGAGTAAACAACCCGGCGCACCTGTACTTCTTACCCGCATACCAACCGTCGAAACGATTACCTTTGTCAGATAGTTTGAGTTTCGTTACAGTAAAGAAGAAAGGTACGAAATAAAGGTATTCCTAGCCTTAGTACCTCTACCTAAGATAGCTATAGAATAGTTATAGAATAGCTATAAAATAGTTACAGAATAACTATAAAATAGTCTTAGAATAGTTATATTTATTTTATACTATTACTTGAAGAGATAAATATAATCTTTTAATACTATTATTTATAGTTATAATAATAAATTTTTATAACTATCTCGAAGATAGTTTTATAAAAGAATAATCTAATTTTAATAAGAGAAAAATCTACATTAAAATAAAAGTATTATATTAGATTAAGAATAATTCTAATTTTAAAAGAAATAAAAAATAGATTTACTCTAGTTCTAAATATATAATAGTCTTATCTTTAGTAATAGTTATAGGATAGTCTAGCGATAGTTATAGAAACCTCTCTCTTTTCTATAAAATAAATATCTTTAGTATAATTTATAGTTTTCGTTATTTTCTTACTATATAAAATAATATAATAAACGTTACAAGAACGGATAATTTATATATTAGCTTAGCTATTATTACCATTTCTGGAGTAGTAAAACAAAAAAACTGGATTCTTATAACTAATAAGTAGTAAGTTATTATCACTAACTTAAGCCAAAAAGAGTTTAGATAAGCACAAACCAGCCAGCCACCAGCTACAGTAAACCTGAGCGATGCGTAACTCCGAAACAACATTGAACCTCGGCTCATCACCACAGCACTACTCGCTGGTGCTCATACAAGGGAAGCTAAACACCATTCCCCAAAACCACAAACCGCCAACCCCATCAACCCAATGCAATAACCCGTCCTCCAAAAACCAGGGCAACCAAATAGCCCTCCCCCGTTCTCTAGCACTTCCAAAAATGCCATCCTCCTGTCCCTTCTGCAATATAGCAACCCACTACCCACCAAGTCCCTCCCCACCCGCTAGCAACGAAAACGTCTCTCCCTCCGCCTTCGTCGTCCTCTCCACAGAGCAATGCATGGCATTCCTCGACATCATGCCGCTCGCGCCGGGCCACTTGCTGGTGACGACGCGGAAACACCATGAGAAGCTGAGTGATGTGAGTGAGGAGGAGGCGCGGGAGCTGGGGGAGTGGTTGTTGCGGTTGTCGAGGGTGTTGGCGAGGGTGACGGGGACGTGGGATTGGAATATTGTGCAGAATAATGTATGTGAGGACCTATATGAGAATTTTGGAGGAAGAGGGGGGGGAGGGGGGTTGGCAGGAGGGAAATGAGGGTTGGGATGGATTTGCTAATGGAGACTTGGGTTTAGGGTGCGGCTGCTGCGCAGGTTGTTCCGCATGTGCATTTTCATATTATACCCCGGCCGGGACTTACGCCTGAATTGAGGAATCGGTCGTTTACTATGTTTGGGAGGGGACAGAGGAGTGAGTTGGATGATGAGGAGGCGGCGGTATTGGCGGAGAAACTAAGGGAAGAGATGAAAAAGGAGATGGAGAGAATAGGGAAGGAGAAGCTGTGATTGGTGTTGTACATTGTTGAAATAGGTATGTATATATCGGACTGCTTATTAGAGCTTAATTCTGGATAAGGGGTAGATACGGAGACTGCATTACATGGCGTTTGGTCAGAAACATGGAGATTTGGGGTTATCGAGGGAAGAGGAAGAATACCCTATGGGGAGTTATGATTGGGAGGACATGTGTCTCTTGGTTCGCTTGCATGTAAGAGTTTGTATTTTGTATGGTCTAAACCATACCCAGATTTCTCACTAGGACTTTCTATGTTGTCTTCTCAGAATTTAACTTCTAATGATGAAAGGATTTATGGTGCTGATGCCTTTGTATCCCCCAACTACTAGAACGAGAAGATACCGCTTCAATTAGACTGCAGGCGTGTGACCAAGCTGGACCGAATCAACATCAATGGACCGTTGAACTGTGGCATTTGTACCAGATCAGTCAAAGATGACCAAGGAGTACAATGTCCTAGGCCAACCGTGTACCCGGTTTGGATGTTTTGGAATAGTGACTCAGGTGTACAAGGTCACAGGACGAAATATCCATGCTAGTAGAAGGATGATTCTCTGGGCAGGCTCCCTGTGGACAAGAAAAGTGGCAGAGATTCATTTTTTGACTATTAGCGTATGTTGATTCTAAGTATTAAAATGTTTAAAATATCTCGAACAATTGCCTTTTATTGTGCTATCGCTTTCGATAAATCACTTCGATTATTCGAAATAACTGATATAATATAATGGTTTTTAGTGAAGTTAGGATAAGATGAAAAATGAATCTCTGCCACTTTTCTTGTCCACCGGGAGGCAGGTCGTCAGGTTACGTGGTAGATAAAGGCCTTGACAGCTGGGGCGAAAGTAGCGAGTAATTTCTCAGTTGGCACAGATCACCATGCAGATTTGAGCAGGCCCATTTAATTAGTTGAATTTCTTGTCTTATGGCGGAGAGTAAAGCGCCAAACTTTTGCGTGGAATCCATGATATGGAGCCGAGAAGAGCGCATACATGAAAATATTTCTAGCCGGAATATGATTCTATGTTTTCATCCCGCTAAAAATCTCTATCTCGTTCTCGATTGAATTGCCTTGACAGTACCACTGACAATTAGTCGTCCATCAATCGCCAGTTCACCAATGCCTGTAGTATCACCACTTCCATGATCCAGCCATCTCTTCAGAAGGTCATTACTCTCCTTGGGCTTCACATCATCCCCTCTGGTTCCAACCGTGACATGCGGGATATCATTAGCGCATTCCCATCCTTCATCAACAAGTCGTGCTACAATGGCCATGATTCGGTTATCCCACACAATCTATTCGCAAGTTAGTATCATACTTGGCGAAATTAGGTTGTGGAAGTGATATACCCGCTCAAGTTGGACTTTGCACTCTCCAATCTTGTTATCCCATCCATCGCTTGCAGTGTGCAGATCGCTGTATCGACTCCATAGCTCGGGGTATGATTTCGAGGAAGCTCGGTGGATTAAGGTGACGTGGAAATCTGGCTGAACACGACGTGTCTCCTGTAATTGTCTAAAGAACCTGGCTTTGTTCGAAGAAGCCGACGCAAAAGAGTTTTCTAAAGTGTCGAGAATATCACCTCTAGGTAGGTTGACGGAAATGAACTCTAGAGGACGAGGTTTCTTGGCGATTTGTGGCTGCTGCTTACAGTTAGATGAAAGAGTATGTCTGAATGGGATGCCTTTTTCCATACCTGCTGATTCTTTTGGCCCTTAGGCTTTTGCTTTGGTCCTCCTTTGGCCCCGATTTCATGTCTGATGTCAGGCTTGTATTCGCTTAAAGCAAAACGGATGGCATCGTCAAGATCCTCGCTGGAAGGCATATCGGTGAACAGCTTCGGGTATGTGGTGTTCAGTTGCGATACAATTGTCTCTAAATTCTCTCGCGAGTCTTTGGTTGGGTCTAGATCAATGATGGAATCGAATCCATCATCGGGTCTGTTTTCAGTGTTGAGAGGCTCGAATCGATGAATGAAACCTTCCATGATCCCAATAACCTTATTTTTATCGGAAGCCGCTTGGATAGTCTGGTGATTATCGCCACGAGCCTGTACTCTGGTTTGTGTGACTTCTCGAATTCTTCCCAGCGTCTCGGGGGTGTGAACGAAATTCAGAGCAACGAGTCTTACATGAGGATGAGTTAGATGCACATTTCCAATTAGTTGCTCTCTCTCATGTTTTTGTGCATTATTTCGGTCGGCCACAACAACTGGTAAATCCTCCAAGAGATTCAAGACCTCTTTGGTAAATCTTGGAGGTCGACCTTTGCCTGTTATGTTGTCATTTTGTACGTGACCCCAGCCGAAGAGATGTGAGAGGGCAACTGATATTGTTGTTTTTCCACAGCCTATCGTGGCAATTGGCACGAGGATAACATTTTTTGAAACATCCTCTGGAGCACCACCCAACATTGCATATTCTTCTCCGATGATATCAGAACCCTTCAGGTTCTTCTCTTTCAAGAAGTCATCGCGCAATTGAATAATCCCGTGATTTTGCTGATATGCATTCCCCAAACTAGGATTATCTGCAAGTCTCTTGCGAACGTACAAAAGGTACTCCTCGGTGATCTTGATATGCTTTCGGTAGCGAGGGGGTTTGCCTGCAATGACTGCTTTGGTACACTCTCGCCACTGGCGATACATCAAATATGGCTCTTCGAACTTGTACTTGAAAAACCAATCCACATAAGGCCCTTGGCCATTAACACGAGTCTTGCACCGAATAACGAAACCCTCAATATCTCTTCCGTTGTAGTGGCCTGTCTCGGCAACCCCGTCTAAAAACTTCTTAGTAGCCTCGATGTCTTCGATGACCAGGAAGTCGGTCTTGCGAAATCCCCATTCCTCAGCGAAGGCTTGCACTTGAGGACCAGGGTAAGTCATGAACTCGGGGAGGTTGATGTTGATTCCATGCAGATACAAACCAGCCACATCCTTTCCATAAGCTAGAATGTGTTCTTCAAAATCATCGTCACATAGTTCCGCTACTGCAGTTGCGTTTCGACTTCGAAGTTCTACAGCCAGATCTTTGCGAGTCTTGCCGATGGCACTGAGTTGTTTGTCGACCCAGCTCTCGGCTGCCTTCGCATGGCTAAGGGTGTCGGGCCTTCCACCGGTCGAATGTTTGCTGCAAACTAAGAGGGAGCCGTCATGAAGACCACTGATAAAGATGATACATCCATTCTCCTTCAAACTCAACTCATATGGACCTTTGGCATTGGCTTCGATATTACTCCACCTGGTGGCTTTGACTTCCTCGGTGTTGAAGAACTTGTCGTATCCACGCACACAGATTTCCGGCTGGCCTTTCTCATTCTTGCCCGTAAATAGACCACGAGCATAGGTTGGAAGATTGTCGAGTTTGTAGTCCCAATCCTGGAAGCGCCAGGAGCTGACCACCAACTGCGGTTGAGAGCCTTCGACATTGAAACCGGTTTCTTTGCAGCTAAAGCTTTTGCCGGAGGTTTTGTTTAGGTTTTTCTTGGTACTCTCCTCCAGGTTCTTGATCAGCGTCTGAACCTCCTGGACATCCTGCTTCATATAAGGGACGCTGTTAGGTGGAGATGCCGCCATGTTGAAGGGCTGACGGGTCAAGGTTGGTGGAGTGGCTATTGATCTTGATCTTGTTCTTGCTAGTGGAAAAGTGGATTTGCTTGAAATAGGATAGAGGAATCTGAAGGGCAAGGTCAAGGTTACGGAAAGGTGGGGTCGGAAAGTCAGAGAGAATGGCCTCAAACGCATCAAGAACAAAAGCACCCAGTGAATGCTGTTTGATGCCTTAAGTAGTGGTCTTTGTACTTACATCGACCTGTTCCAGGATGGCAATGGCAATGGTACCTGAGGTTGTCAAAGGCACACCAATGACTGCTCGCCGGGGACGGAGGTTCAGGATCTCAAATTCAGGTACAGAGAAGTAGAGTTTAGGTGAGTCAGACGGCAGATTCCAGTGATTTCCCACTCTGATACGAGGCTGCTTGATCCATACATAAGGCTGATTTCATTTTCCCCTTCCACCCCAGGCTTGTCTTTTGTGCCTGTGGCGGGTGGCGCAGGCCTGTGCCCCATGTTTATTTTATTTTCCCACCCCGCTGCATCCCCATCACCTAAGTGACATCAACTTCTCAAACTACCTGTATACCTGATCACCTTCTTTCAAATATTCCTCAAGCCTTCCTGGCGACACCATGTCCAATCTACAGCCAAACCAATTTCTGCTGGCCGCCGACAATTCTCCAAATTTACTACCCCTCCTCCGATCCAACCCCGCACTCGCTTCCTCCCAAGACGAACACGGATATTCTCTCCTACACGCTGCGGCCTCTTACAACCACCTTGATCTTCTTCGCGCTTTGGTAAACGAGTTTCATGTTGATGTCAACCTCAAAGACGAGGACGGAGAAACTGCGTTGTTTGTTGCAGAAACGTTGGAATGCGCGAAAACATTGGTGGAAGAACTGCACGCGAGCATATCAATTAGGGGCGACGAGGGGAAAACAGCGAGAGAGAAGATTGCCGAAGACGACGATTTCCCGCAAGTTGCAGTCTATCTTCGAGTCAAGGAATTGGAAGCTGGTTTGGTCCAAGTCAATGGTACTGGAGAAGAAAGTGCAACCAATGGCGTACAGCCTCCACCACCAGTACCGGAAGGAATCAATGTCGATTTTGGAACAATGAATCCAGAGGAGGAAGCTGGAGAAGTCGTGGATCCCGAATTTCGACGGAGAATAGAAGAATTGGCAGCACGAGAAGACTTCCAAGGAGAAGAGGGTCAAAGGATGTTAAGAGAACTCATCACGGAAGCGATAACAGGGGACATCGGCCAAGAGAGAGATGTGCGCAGAAGGACTAGTTGATTTGGAAGTTTCCTATCTATGATACCTCCCACAACACATACTCGTTGGGTGCATTGGGAAGCCTCAATATGGTACAGTTCCTACAATTCCTGGTCAAACCCTCTCCAAATCCGTCAACGCAATAGGCAAACCATGTTACTCGAGACACAGCTAACAAGATCTTGACGAAAAGTTCGTGTGCCCAATTTGGAGAAATGAAGCCCTGCCATGTCAGTTTGACCACAGGACTACTATTGGCTGCGATCTGATCTGCGCCCTGCGGTGGATTGTATCGACAAAGAAATGAGTCGGTTGTGTCTTCTGGATCTATAGCAGGACTTTCGAGGCAAATCAGTGCAAGCCACTCATGAACTTCCACGGAGTAGTCCTCAAAGTCTGCACCGTAAGTGACATCCACATCTTTCGGTGGATTGAGCTGTGGAACTAGAACCTGGATCTCCGAGATGCTGGGAGAAGAAATCTTCTCAATTGGAAAATGCGCTTCAAGAGGCCTTGGTGTTATAGCTTTGCCAACATCAGTATTTGGCTTGCAGAGGAATGAGATGGAACTTGTACCCGAAGTTTGCAAATCTTTAAAAAGCCAAGTAATTGGGGTGGTGAGAACATTCTTAAATGCATAAGCAATCCTATCAAACCCCTTTTTGCCATGTAGCATAGATGGAAGACGTAAATTTATTTCCACGACTAGAGTCACATTAGCCCAACTACTCACTCAATGAATGACTGTCGTTGACTCACTCCACCGAGGCTTAGTTCCACGCTTTCCCTTTACACCTTCTGGTTTGCCCACGATACCAGCCCGCTCATAACTTTCTTTGTCAAGATGTAGCGTCAAAATGCCTTGGAAAGTCAGTAATTGAGTATTACTGCTATTACAAGCGCCTACCTTCTCTCAGTGTATAAACGTTCTCGGTGGCAGGGTTGCCTTCCGAGAGCATCAAAATGTTCCCTGAGATCCAAATAAGAATCTGAATGCACATAGAAGGTTTCTGAAATTAAGCAAACCTATTTTAATGTACTGATTGAAAAACTCTCCTTCCAACAAAGCTTTCAATGGTAGAATGACACGGCTGTAGTCTGGCCTTTCTTCCTCTCGGAAGACTTCATTTTTGATAATCTCATAGATTTCTGCTGGGAGTACTAGTTGAACCTGTAAGGATGTCAGATTGATCTAAGATCTTTTTGGATATCATCAACACCTACCTTGTGAACAAATGGGTGGGCTAAAATGGCCGAGAATGGTTTTCGTTTGGTGGGAGGCTGTTTAGGGTCGAGATGCCCCATGACTCCATGTGTGACCTCACACTTCTGCTCGTTCTTCGTGTCTTCTGGAAAATCAAGCATCTTGGCTGGCAGTTGTTATTTTTGTTCGGGTGGTTGTGAATGAGATTGATATTGAAGCTTGAGCAAGGTTTTAGCGCGGTCTTGGCGCGAAAGCCACACTCAACAGCCACTAAAGCTTTCGAAGCCTGAATATTTCACAAACTAACTCGTCTCTTCACAACTTATATAAAATCTTCCGATTACCTCTCTTCTGAAATCCTGCATCTGGGAGAGACGAAAATGAAAGTCGGATCATGATGGAGTACATGATCAGATTCACCCAAGTCCATGAGACGTTCAGGGTGCCTGAAATAAAAGCCCTCGCGGTGCTCAGAGGAATTGACATGGAAATTCTCTCTTACAGTCCAAGTGTGAGTAAGACGTCACTTTCACGTCCTTGATATTCGACTCACACGTTGTAGTCACCATTTTGTGTCGTGAAATTACCCTCCGCAGAGGCTGCTGCACAACTCGTCAAGAGGAGCATTCTAGTGAAAGCGGCTTATGAGCTTTGGGGCAGTGGATCCAGTTATGAGGACCTTCATGATAATGTTCGAGGTCACTCGGAGCATCTCTGGCCACTTTATAAGAAAAATACATTCAGATTTAGTGTCGATTCATTTCAAGGGACTAGATCCACTACGGAGCAGAAAAAGCTGATTGAAGGCTTCCGATTCTTAGGATTCGAAGGGCCCATCAGGATGAAGGGTGCAGAGCAGGAGTTCTGCCTCTTGGAAGAATGGCAATTTAATTGTGCTAAGCTTGGAGTATACGAGCCTCAATCTGTTCACCTTGGTCGATTCATCTGTGGAAGTGATCGAGATTCCATCAACAAGTACGATTTGAAGAAGAGAAAATATATCTGTACCACATCCATGGATGCGGAACTTGCTCTGATCACAGCCAATATCACTCTGGCAGACACAGGGAAGCTTTTCTATGATCCCTTTGTCGGCTCGGGTAGTTTCCCGGTGGCATGTGCACATTTTGGTGCTTTGGCTTTCGGAAGTGATATCGATGGGCGAAGCATCAGAGGAAAGGGGAAGTCTAAACCCAATTTACTATCAAACTTTGTTCAATATGGCATTACCGATCAATTTGGCGATAGCTTCGTTGCTGATCTGACCAATACTCCCTTACGAAAAGCAAGGCTTTTCGATGGGATTGTATGTGATCCTCCTTATGGTGTTCGTGAGGGCTTGAAGGTTCTGGGAAGTAGAGATCCGACGAAAGGAAAAGAGCCAATAATCAGAGATGGGATAGCTCACCATCAGTAAGTTGCCAGATGTGGTCCGCTTTTACATACTAATCGTTAAATAGAATGGATTCATACGTACCTCCCAAAAAACCATATAGTTTTCTTGCTATGCTTGATGACATATTGGAATTTGCTTCCGTGTCACTTGTTGATAATGGCCGATTGTCATTTTGGATGCCCACATCAAACGACGAAGATCAAGAGATAAAGGTCCCAGAGCATCCATGCCTCGAAATTGTCAGCATCTGCACCCAAGACTTTAATAGATGTAAGTTACTGCCCATATCTACACTCCAAATTTCGAGCTAATCTTCACAAGGGTCGAGGAAACTCATTACCTACAGAAGAATACCTGACTCAAAAGTTGTACATACCGTTCGTGAGGAAAGGGTGAAAGAAAACGGAGTCAGTGCTGATGACCTCAATCCTTTCAGAAAGGGCTACTTCAAAGGATTCAAGGCAGCATTTAGATGAAATTGACAAATCAGGACTTGTTGTCAAAAATACCCGCCTGGAATTTGAAAGACCTCAAGCGCTTGTGTGCTCTGAACCTTCTATTGTCATAGCATGATATATCATGGCAGTTCGTGAAGCAATGAACGATATTCGTGCAGCATCGCAGCAACGTGAAATTATGGAAAGTAACTCCAAGCGATGAGGTTTGCTTGGTCACCGACTCTGATTGATTGGCTGGATGTGAATTCTTTGAATAGTAATCTCAAGATCGACATGGAATGCATAAACCGTCCGCAAGTCATCGAAATGTTTGCAGATACACAAGTCCATCTAGCAACTGCCGTCCAAGAGAGGCGCGCAAACCACGAGATTGTTATGCGATGCTGCTTTGAGTATATCTTGAAAAGGCATACTTGAGTTCGCTACAATGGCACTTACATAGAGCCTACATCCAAATCGTAGTCTCCAGCTTTTGCGATTTTTCTCATCATGCCAAAAACCACGCGCCCAACACTCCACAACAGCACCCCCTTCACTCTATCAAAAAACGCCCTCCCCATTCATTCCCCCGAAAATATTACAACCCGCGCAATCATCTACCCCCAAATCCACTAGCGCAGCCCACAAACCCCACTTTAGGGCACGGATTTGGTATATATACGCAGTAAGCAGATGCTGTTGGATCAAGTCAACACTCGAGACCTCCCCGGCGGCGGTGGCTCATTCGGTGAGTGTGTGACTTGAATCCGTCGACAAAAGGATTTTGGGCGGCAGGCGGGATATAAAAGAGGGCAAAAATAATTCCAAAACAAAAGAAGATTATTTATAAAAAAAAAGAAAAGAATATCATTCTTCACTTGTAACTAGTCTCAAATTCTCCTGTACTCACTCTCTCCTGTATTCACCATCTCCTTACTCTCTCCTAGCTAGAAAAAAAAAACGTGGGATTTACGGTATAAGGGACGAGGAAAAGCTCAAAGAGCCCAAACCAAAGAGCCTACACGACTGACCAGAAAGCCTACCCGACTGGCTAAACAAGCCTCCTCGACTGGCAAGTACAAGCGACCCTGGGCCCAGCGGAAACGACAAAGTGCACTTCGGCGGACAAATTGACGGACAATGACAACCATTCACCTGGATCCCTGGATTGTGGTCATGTATCCAAGCCCTTCATAGACTCTAGATTGACGTGTATAATAATAAACCGACCATTGAGCGATGGTGTCTGGTTTCCCTACGCCCTCTTCGGGGGGCTAGGTTTTTGCCGTTTTTTTTTCTACGGTGTTGTTTTATCTTATGTTCTTCTAGAAGAGCCTGGATAGAACGTGTATCTCTACTGTCTAATATTAACTTCCATCACGATAAAGTGTTTCTTTCAAGTATTACTTCCAAGTAATTAGGCGAGACACGATAAATGTAAGAGAGGCGGGCATTACTCTATACACACCTGAGTTATAAAAATATTATCCTTCAGATGAAATGGAACAACTAAGTTACTTGTGCCAGAGTTTTGACATAATGACTTTCAATAGCGTGGTGTATAGAGCAATGCTCGCCTCTCTTATAATGAATTTCTACTCTCTAGGCAAACCAAATGTGGATTATCTCGTTACACGTTTACTTTTGTGCCCTCAAATAATTTCTTAACATAAACTAATGTTTTTCATAGACTCTAGAAGTGACAATTATCCCGAGTTCAATAATGAATAGGTAGGGCTGACGTTGATGTTAGTTACCCAGGTGACCACGCCAAGCCAAATTGGGGGTCCAAGTCAACAACGCAGCGCAGCGCATCGCAGCCAACACCATACTCCGTAGGTAGTTCCTGAGAAAGGCACCAATCCAAACCAACGAACTCAAAGCTCCACGGCACGCTGCAGATACGCAAGCACATCCAGAATCCACTCTACCGCTCCTCCTTTCATTAATTACCGTAGCGCAGCCAAGCGGCGCAAGAACTGGGAGGGGTCCACACCCAACCACCTCAATTGCCAACCACCCTAATTTTCATAAGTGCTCTACGGAGCTGCCACATCAATCGCGTTTTCTTTTTCCCAAACCACTTACTCCTTACTACTTACATTTCAGAGTAATTCTCGGATTCTAGTGCGCGCGAAATTTTGTTCCGTGTCGAAACTCGACGTTTCAAGAGTTACCGTTCGAGACTCTATACATTCGTTTACTCGTACCCAGCGAAAAAACCCTGCTCCACACCGCTGCAGCTGCAGCTGGGAGTCAGAACGGTGCAGATTCTAAAGACGCCTCTGAAAGATTCTCGAATCCCCTCTATTAATTATCCTACGAAGATAAAAAATCGACACCATGCGCCTTTCACTATCGTCCCCGAGCTTGGTCTCACTTATTCTCGTCGCATTATCAAAGATCGAAACCACCCAGGCATTTCCCTTGGGACAACTCGATTTTGCGGCTCTCCTCGGCAGAACAGACTGCATATCTTATTGCGGAGCCGATAACCAATTCTGCTGCACTTCAGGCCAAACTTGCGCAACTCTTGCTGGAAATATAGCAACTTGTCAGGCTGGAGCTGGGAGTCCGCAGACTGGAGCAGGAGGATATGCTGTTTACACAACCACCTATACGGAAACCGACCTGATCTTGCGAACGAGCACAATCAGTTCCTTCTACCAAGCTCCAACTGGGCCTTCGGCACCAGGTCCTACAGGTGTAGCGATATGCACAACTAGCTTGGGAGAGACATCTTGCGGTCCCATATGCTGTGCCAGTAATCAACAATGTGCTTCTGCTGGCTCTTGCGTAGCTCGTACTACGAGTTGGACATATGTTCCAACCAGTTCCTACTCGGCTCCAGTACGACCAACAAGCGGAGGAGCGGTGACAGGAACAACTACACAACCATTCATACCACCTGCGACTGCTAGTGGAAGCACCATCCCCATTGCTGGTTCCAGCAACAACGGCTTGAGTCCTGGGGCAATTGCAGGAATTGTTATTGGTGTAATCGCTGGTGTTGGGCTTCTCCTGCTCCTCTGCTTCTGCTGCATCGTCAAAGCTGGATTTGATGGCGTTTTGGCAATCTTTGGCCTCGGAAAAGGAAGGAAGCGTAAGTCAACAGAGACCGTAGTGGTTGAAGAGCGCTACTCTCGACATGGCAGTGCAGCAGGCTCTCGAAGACAACAACATACAGGTTGGTTCGGCGGCGCAAGTCGACCAGCAAGAGTTACCGAAGAGCGAAAGAAGAAATCCAGTGGACTAGGAGGTATTGGCGCAGTCGGCGCAGGTCTCTTGGGTCTAGCTGCTGTCTTGGGGTTGAAGAAGAAAGAGGATCACAGGGAGAAGCCACCTGCAGCCGGAAGATCGGATATCAGTAGTTCGTATTACTCATATGACTCCTATACAGGCAGTAGTCCAAGTGAGTTTATCTCCATTCCGTGACTGCTTCGAGGACCAATTACTAACAACTATCCTAGGCAGTGCTAGCTCAGACGACCGAAGAAGTCGGGGAACCAGAGGTACACGTCCATCTCGACGATGATCTAGTTCCCTGATCTTGGTCTCTATTGTGTGTGCTGCGTTCTCTTGTATATTGCGTTGGTGGAGATTTACCGAACAAGTTTGATAAAGAAGATTCTTTTTTTTGACGAGCATGGAAAGAGCGATTTGCTTTTCTTGGCGTTTTTTATGGCTAAATGAAAACATGGGTGGATAATGTCTTTTTCTTTTTCTTTCCTTGGATACGAAGGACGACTGATAGATTGATGAGGATATGTCAACGACGAGCCACAAGAACTTTAAGAGGGATGGATTTGTACTTATATTTGCCTCCTTATGGCTGGGGGGTGGGGTGGCTGGTTGGTTGGGTTGGGACTGGAATGTGAATAATAAATGGGACCTGTCATCACAAAAACCACTTTCAGGAATGTTAGTTGCCTCGGGTTGCCTAATTAATGCATGCATAAATCCTGTTTCTTGCACAACGTGTTGGTAACAACTGACTACTGGTCCTTGTAAGTTTTCCTCGTGGTCAGTCCGGATAGTGGGTCCCTTTTCTATAGATGGCTGGCTGGCTGGCTAGGCTGACAATGCGAGAGAGCGAGATGGACATTCGGACTCGCTGTTCGCTGCGATGAGCAACAGAAATCCGAACTAGGAAATTTTTTGGGATCTTGCCGAAGGAGGAGAATGTACTGTACTGTTTTCGGCCCTCCGAGGATTCGGTGCTTATGGCGGCTGGCGCCCTAACCACGGTGAGCTCTTGTGCTGTAAGTTGGCTGGCAGCTTGATATGTCCTGTCAATAGCGAGAGGTGCATGTACATCAACTAAACTTCTAATTCCGAAGCTTTCATGGTCTATCGCGAAGCGGTGATTGTTCGCTATACTGGTACTCATCGTAGTTTCCCCAGTTCCCTTAGGTTGAGAATTTTCTGCTGACGTCTCGACTCTCGACCGCTTTCTTCATGTTTCATATGCAAATGGGAGGAATTGAGTTCGTCTGTATAGTAGGTTCGGCTGCCTCGGCAGGGATACATGGTCTCGTCATGAACTTCGAGGCTGGGAAGGCTTGTTTTTTGTTGTTAATTCCGAGGAACTAAGCTTTTTGATTTGAGGGTGATGAGCTTGTTTGTGTGTGCAGTATATGATTTTGTGGTCTAGAGATGGGGGGTTGGAGTATGATGGTGTTGAGTTAATAGTAAGATACGTAGTAAAGTGAGGAGTTTTCTGTGAGACTTGTCCGTTGGCCATGGTTCCATTCTGCTTTGGAAAGTTGGGTCCTTGATATTATGTCTTAGGTGGGAAAAAGTGAAATATTTGAGCAAGTATGGAGAAAAAGGAGGTCACAGTTTAGATTTCCTAAGAGTAGGTTCTCAGAGTGAGAATTTCATCTCTTTAATCTTTACTTCTAAGCTTGGGAAAACAGATGTATACCCCAAAACTCTTTTCACGGTGATAAGTAGCCTTGCTTTCTTCGTTTGTAAATTGTATTGTTGGGAAGGAAATTTTAAATATGGAACCTGTGGAGAAATCCTGACCGCTTGATTAACGTCTAGTTTTTGGAAGGGGTAGGAGGAATGGGAAGAGTGGTTACTGTGAAAGAGGTGGTTATACGATTCAGGTGGTTGGTCAAACTCATAAATCCATGGAAGGGTGTAAGCATGGGAGACCTACCCATGGAGGTGAGTAGAAACTGGATACAAAGAAGAAATCTGTCAAGAGAGATTATATTGTGTCTTCTGACACCCATTGAAGGTATGCTAATACAGATATCTTGAGACAGTTTTCAGAAAGTACCTGCTTCCTCACTACAGAAGTCGCCTCATCCCTTACTCCTAGCTGCAAGCGAGGTTTTTCCTGAAGAGCATAAGCATGTATGATGTGTTTGAAATCTCACAACCTCAATATACCTTCAACTCAAAGCTTGATCACAAGGAATCGATTGAGGAAGTGCGTAGTCCTTTACGAAATGAGAAGACCAACCCCCACTGGTACGACATTTAGGAAAGATAGGAAAGAAAAATTGGTGTAGATGAGTGAAGAAATTGGTGAAAGACCGACAGAACGACGAGAACCACCACGATCAAGCCAATGAACAACCGACATCATGCACTTGAAGTGGTGTCCAATCTCTTTGGGTCAACGCTTGTCACTCACCCTCGAACATGACGCAAAATTTGGGGGCCCGCCAATGGGTAAACAAAAGCCGATTCCTCGACCCTCGTCGCACTCTTCCCCTCGATCCATCAGCACAACAGCACAGCAGCAAAAAAACACAGCAGCAAAAAAACAACTTGCGCAATCGCGGCGGTATCCAACCAAAACAATCAAACAGAAAGTACCACCATCAATGCCATCAAAAAAGACACCATGCCAGGAGGACCAAGCCCATACCACCAGCAGGCGGAGGTCCTCTTGTAATCCGCCCAGCTCGACCACCGAAACGATCCCCCTGCGGAGGTCCTCAAGGAGCTGGCAGACCTGACCGGTCTGACGCGGAGGAAGGTCTGGGTATGTATCTCCCTCTTCTATAGTATTATCTAAGCGACAGGATGCTGATTATCCGACAGGACTGGTTCAACCGGGCCCGCGAGAGGGCCAAGCCGTTGGAAGAGAGGAGGTGGGCCCGCGAGGTCAAACCAAAGCGGGAGGAGAAGAAGAGGAGTGCGCGGGAGAGGGTGCAGAAGAAGATGAGTGCGCGGGAGAAGGCGAAGAAGGCGAAGAAGGAGGCAGACGAGAAGGGAGCAGACGAGGAGGAGGAGGAGGAGGAGGAGAATGAGGGCGGAGATGAAGAGATGGAGGAGGAGGGCGGAGATGAGGAGATGGAGTAAGGGGCGGGGAGAGTTTGATCAAGAATTTCTTAACCTTCGTCGCCATGGTTTCTGACCGGTCCATTCAGGATTAGTAGGACTCTACCGAAGAACTGTTTGGTGTCCACGATGGGCCGTGGCGGCAAGGCAGAGTTCTTGCATCAAGAGTGAATTGGGAAAGGGAGAGGAGGGAGAGTTTGTTCGAGGGTTTCTTGACCTTCGTCGCCATGGTTTCTGACCGGTCCATTCAGGATTACTAGGGCTCTACCGAAGAACTGTTTGGTGTCCACGATGGGCCGTGGTGGCAAGGCAGAGTTCTTGCATCAAGAGTGAATTGGGAAAGGGAGAGGAGGGAGAGTTTGTTCGAGGGTTTCTTGACCTTCGTCGCCATGGTTTCTGACCGGTCCATTCAGGATTACTAGGGCTCTACCGAAAAACTGTTTGGTGTCCGTGATGGACTATGGTGGCAAGGCAGATAATTCTCGTATGCTGGGGGTTGGAATTAAACTTGGCGTTTGAGGTCTATAATTTGAATTCTTTTGATACTGTTGGTTTGACTCCATTGTTAAATATAAGGTGTAATATAGGAAGAGGCTAAACCTTAGTATTAGACTATTCCTATTGTTGATACACACCGAGTTAAAGGTGTAGAAGTCGTACCGCTATAATATAGGCAGGACTAGCCTAGTCAGGTGGTCTGTGCTACCGAGTATATTTACTTAGATATTATAGTAAAACTAGGCCTACTTTAAAAGAAGTAAAAGACTTAGTATAAATAACTAATTATCTAAAGTCCTTAACTAATTAAATCTGTTAATTTCTCCCTTAATATTAATTAAGTCTATTAATACCTTATAATTTATAAATCTATCTAAATTTATTAATTCTCTATGGTATTATTATTTTATCCCTTACTAATATCCTTATATTTAACTTACTCTTTAACTATATCTTAATCTTATTTATATTAATAAGTATAACTAATACCTAGTAGAGCTTTAATTTTATTATAGTATTAGTAGGATTTATAGTCTCCTTAATCTAAAGGATCTTATAGATTTTATATTATTTATATACCTAGCGTAATACTATTATATTAATTATAAGACGCTTCTTCTTTATTATACTAAGTTTTATTAAGTATTTATATATTAACTTAAAATCTATATAAATCGTTAATTTAAGTATCTTACCTAAGATAGCCTCTAGTATTAACTTAATAACCTCTACTATATTAAACCTTTTACTTAAAGTATATAACTTAGATACTAATATACTTTATATAATTTATCTATATATTATAGAACTCTAGTATAAAATAACTATATAATTATCCTTATCTACTAAGTATAAAATATAGCTTATTTAAGAGGAAAGGTTAGTCAAATTTATAAAAGGAGTATTTATAAATAATATAAGCTTTAGTAAGTTAATATCTAAAGGTATATATTTAAGTCTATACTTTAGATTATTAATTAACTATTAAAATCGTTTATGTAATATATTAATATTACTTTTCTTAAGGTTTAGAGGTTATACTATAATACTTAAATTAAATATTACCTTAGGTTAGTATACTATAGCTATATAAGCTCCTAGTACTTATTAAGTAATATATTAATCCTTTATAGAATAATCCTTATAAATAATATTATAAGCGCTAATAATATTAGTAACTCTATTAGTTACTAATTTAACTTAATCTCTATAGTTATAAGTAAGTATAATAGTACTATCTTTTACTAAGGTAATCTTATTACTATTAAATTTTAAAGGTTTATTTAGAGTTAATTCTTTAGTAGACTTAGATTTAAATATAGCTAACTCTACCTTCTTCTTATTTATATAGGTAGTATTACTAAAGATAAAAGTATTATTAGTCTAAAGTCTAATTACACCTTAAAATCCTACCTTATTTATATAGAGTAAGTAGGAATTATAGGTCGATTACTATATATCTAGTTTCTATATAACCTATAGTATTTAATATATATATTATACTAGTAGTTACCCGATTTAGAGATACTATATAGAGGTTTAATAATCTTAAAGTATAATTTCTCTTATTATAGGCTACTCTTTAGTCTTTATATAAATATAGGGCGATTAAGGTTTATTATTAATTAAGTATATACCTAAAAAATATCTTATAGCTAGAGTTTAATTATTAGATCCTTATAGAACTTAATTACTATAAGTAGAATAATAATTTAATTTATATACTAACCTTTTAGATTATAGGTAATTATATTAAAACTAAAGACTTTCTATTATTATTAAATACTTTAATTATAAGTCTAGATTTCTTAAATACCTTAGAAGTACTCTTATTCCTAATAGTATTAATAAATTAAGAACTAAATATATAAGTATTTAGTAGTAGTTAATTAATAGTAATAACCTTAAAGACTCTATTATTAGTTAATCTACTTATCTTAATTTATAATTATAAGCGCTAATAATATTAGTAACTCTATTAGTTACTAATTTAACTTAATCTCTATAGTTATAAGTAAGTATAATAGTACTATCTTTTACTAAGGTAATCTTATTACTATTAAATTTTAAAGGTTTATTTAGAGTTAATTCTTTAGTAGACTTAGATTTAAATATAGCTAACTCTACCTTCTTCTTATTTATATAGGTAGTATTACTAAAGATAAAAGTATTATTAGTCTAAAGTCTAATTACACCTTAAAATCCTACCTTATTTATATAGAGTAAGTAGGAATTATAGGTCGATTACTATATATCTAGTTTCTATATAACCTATAGTATTTAATATATATATTATACTAGTAGTTACCCGATTTAGAGATACTATATAGAGGTTTAATAATCTTAAAGTATAATTTCTCTTATTATAGGCTACTCTTTAGTCTTTATATAAATATAGGGCGATTAAGGTTTATTATTAATTAAGTATATACCTAAAAAATATCTTATAGCTAGAGTTTAATTATTAGATCCTTATAGAACTTAATTACTATAAGTAGAATAATAATTTAATTTATATACTAACCTTTTAGATTATAGGTAATTATATTAAAACTAAAGACTTTCTATTATTATTAAATACTTTAATTATAAGTCTAGATTTCTTAAATACCTTAGAAGTACTCTTATTCCTAATAGTATTAATAAATTAAGAACTAAATATATAAGTATTTAGTAGTAGTTAATTAATAGTAATAACCTTAAAGACTCTATTATTAGTTAATCTACTTATCTTAATTTATCTAGAATTATTAAATACTAAATATACTAACTTATACTATTATCTATAAAATATACCTAGTACTTTAGTTCTATAATATTACCTTATTTATAAACTAGAAGTACCTTAGTATAGTAAATAGCTATAGTCTTTTATAGTTATCTACAACCTTACTTTAGTTAATCTTTATTAGAGTACTTATTAAAATACTTTATAATATCTCTGTATTTAAAGTCTATATCTAGTAGATCCTAAAAATTAGATATATTCTTATTTATATATTATAGTTTAATAATTATAGATTAATATTAAACTAGTTTACCCTTAATCTTAATAATTATATCTTTTCCTTTATATCCTTATAGGATATATAGTATTTACTACTTCTTATACTTACGTTATACCTAAACCTTAGCTCTAAGAGGTAGATTATTACTATAATATCCGAGTAAATATACTCGGTAGTATAAACTACCTAACTAGGCTAGTCCTACCTATATGATTCCTAGCGAGTGGTGGAACATTCTCTCTTATCTCAATTTACCTTATACACAAATAATACCTTAAATACCAATTAATACAGTACTATGGCAGAGAGTACTCTACGCTCTGCAGACCACGGATGTAAATATCAATGACGATATCCTGAGCCTAGTCTATTTCTCCTTAATAGGCGTCACAACAAGAATCATATCTTCTAAGTCTATTATTGTGGTACTGTACACAATTAAATCAGTAGATGACGTACTGTCTTACATTCATCTAAGAGAGACGGGCATTACTCTATATACGCCTAAGTTATAAAAATATTATACTCAAGACTTTACACAACTAAATCAATTGTACGAATCGTTTAGAACAACTGGTACTTTTCACTCCTAATTAACCTAGGTAAATAGGACAATTGATTTACTTGTGCCAGACTTCTGGCATAACGACTTTTGATAGCGTGTACAGAGCAATGACCAGGCTTCTTACAGTTCACTCAAGCACCAGACTATCCGCAACCCATAAATAGATGAATATAATATAAAAAAAATTTGAATTTCTCAAATTTCCTCAAACAAAATTACCAGAATTACCAAGACCTCATACAGTAAAGAGCCAACTAGCTAACCCCCTTCCCCCAACCAACAAAAATCAAAATCCAAACACCTCCCTCCATCCAACAACCCCAATCCACCGTGGGTAAGAGACCGCAAAGAAGATTTGCAAAGGAAAATAGTAAACAAAAGAAAAGCTCAATCAATTTTTGATTCTTTTTTCATAATCTCATGGTCTCGTGTATGGTAGTGGGCTCTGTTTGGCGCAGTAGTTGGGCTGTAAAGAAAAAAGAGGAACAAATAACAAAACAAGCAAACAAACATAAAAAAGAAAGACAATTTAACGAACGGTAAGTAATGTCCTAAAGGACACTGACAATCCCCCCCCCCAAAAAATCAAGCCTTCAACTGCTTCTGCAAGCATTGAATACACAAGACATGTGTTTCATCTCCCACCTCTTTGGGATAGAAACATCCATCATCAAATCCACTCTGGCATTCATGACAACGGAAGCATTCATCATGCCACTCTCCACCCAGCGCTTGAACATATTGTCCAATGACGGGTTTCTTGCATTTCTTACACTTGGGTGCGCGCCTCTCGGTTCGTTTCGTCTGACAGCTCAAGCACCAAGCATATCCATCCTTCTCAATATGTGTTTGACCCTTCTCAAACGGATCTCCGCATTCCGCGCAGAAGAAATGGCCATAATGCCAGTGCTCTCCCAGTGCAATCGTATGCTCCCCAATGATAGGAGTTTTACAATGCTTGCACTTGGGCGCATAAGTTTCATGCCAGTCGAGATGACAAAAGAATCGAAGTCGCTCGTCGCCATCCTCGGCTACAGTTTGACCGTCGACTTCAGGGATATCCTCACCCCTAGCGCGACGTTTGATTCTATCGATGCGCTCCGCACGTCTTGCCTCGGGCTCAAATCGAATCTCCAGTGATTCAAGTCCTGTGCCACAGTTGAAGCAGATAAAACATTCGGGGTGAAAGTGTTCAGGCTTCCCGCTTAGCGCAACTACACGTCCTTCGATTGGTAGAGTACATTGATGACAAGTAGCGGTTGCTCTTCTCCCAGCACTTGGCGCGGGAGACCAATGCCCTCTTGGAAGTGGTGCAGCGTGACCATGCGGTTTGGGACGGCTAGAAGCAGCCTTGGGGTCTGGTAGAGGTCTTTTTCCATTGGATTTTGGCTCCGATGAAACATTGATTGTGGGGACTCCTGGTGCCGAGACAGATATTTGAGGAGCATCGGGTAGGTTTATTGTAGGGATTGAAGGGGCAGACTGAGGTACATTGATTGTAGGAATTGAGGGCCCAGAACCTGGCAAGTTGATTGTTGGAATGCATTGGCTAGCTTGCGGTACATTGATCTTGGGAATTGGTGCTTTTGATATTGGTGTATTTATTGTAGGTACTGAGGATCTTGGTTGGGGAGTGTTTATTGTAGGAACTGACGGTTTTGGTTGAGGTGTGTTGACTGTAGGAACGGTGTATCTTGATTGTGGTGGGGCACTTATAGGAGCGGAAGGTCTTGAAAATGGTGACTTGAAGGTTGATACAGATGTCCTGGGACCAGACAGATTGCTTTTAGGCGTTGCCGGTTTAGAATCCGGTGCTTTGGCAGAGGGAACGGAACGGTCAGAATCAGGCGCATATGCAGTTGGCGACGAAGAGACTGGAGAGTTAGTTATTTGGACTGGGGGCGATTCATGATCTTGAACTGTCGGGAGAGGGGTTGTGACATTCTTCGGAGTTGAGCCATTAGATATGCTTTTCCTTTGACCGGCTGGTCGATCGAAGGGTGATCTTCTTCGCACTTCTGGCTTTACATCAGCCTCCTTCGGCTTCCAATTACTATCAAAGCTTACGATTGGACGACCTGGTTTGTCACTGACAACTGTAGGCGTCGGAAGTTTTGGACTTCTGTCTTTCAAGCGCATGCTCGTTGCTTGACGAATATCATCACTTCTAATTTCAAGTCCATCTTTGGTAGGAGCTTCATTCTTGTCTTTTTCAGGTGACTCCTTCGCTACTGGCAGACTGTTGGCAGTGTAGAGGGGATTTCTCGACTGAGAGGGGGGATTGTGATGAATTTCTGTCCTGTGAAGCTTCTTCGCTTTTTCGGGGGGAGTGCTACTAGACCGTGGCTCGACAAAATCTTGTGCAAACTGTACTCGACTGAGAGGGTTGCGTGGCTTGGATTGTAGTGGCGCTGCAGCTGGGGCATCTTGATCTTCCGTGTTTCGGCCTTTCGCCGGGCTTTCCTCTGGCTCCTCCCAAATTTGAGAACCCGTAAAGATACTACCCACTTCTCCGCTGACGTTCCTCTTCGCGCTACTTCGTCGCTTTGAACTTCCATGCTTTCTTCCACCCAGTATGCTACCGTAGGGATTTGATTTCACGACCGTGCTCGTGCTGGCCGCTGATCTGGTGGAATCAAGCGATTTGCGAACTGCATCTGGCCCAATGCAACGATCCTCTTCCTCGAAAGAACCGCTCGAGACACGGTTTCCGGGGGTCATCATATCGCCACTACAATTCGATCCACCAGAAACTGATCTCGGAGGCAAATCTCTTGCCAAACCCGTCGCTATCACCGTCCCCCCGTAACGCCCAACACTTTGAGTTCTGGCATGAGCGTAACTGTTCTTTCTGAGATGGTCCTTGTATCGATACGGAGCATCTGGATTTTTGACTTCGGGGTTTTGATGTTGGTAGACCAATTCAGACGCCTCATCCTGAGCAGCAGCATGGATCCGAGCTTCTTCATCTTCTTGCTTTTTGATATCCAAATCTTCCATTGCTTCTCTCAGAGAGACCGCCTCTTCCTTTTCCATCCATCGTAACCCTCTTTCAATATATGTGGCGGTTGGGACTACTTCCGAGGGCTTTAGAGGTTCCACGGGTGGATTCTGGTTGGGTTGCTGAGCAAGCTGGCGACCAACTCTCGAGGAGACGGAGTAATTGGAGAGGGCGGACTGAGCTCGTCTGCGGGACATGGCACTCACAGATCGAGGTTGTTTGTAATCGGATGATGTTCGTTCTAGAATTTCGGTCGCTGGAGCAGGAGGTTGCGCATATGAAGTTGGTCTTTCTATTGATTCCCGGCGTCTGCTGGCAGGCTGAGGTCGGGCACCGCTAGGTCTTGCAACGCGGTTGGTTCTCAAATCGGCGAGATAATCGGCTAGACACAGGTAAGTTTAGTTGGAGAAACGCAAGAAACTTCCCTCCTTATAAAGATGCTGTCCAGGTGCAAAAGATGCGGAGAGTAAGTAGTACATACCAAATTTTTCGTTAGACATAGCCACCGGACCAGGAGGAGTCACTTTGCGTGTCCTGTCCTTGGATCTCCCGCGCAACAGCATAATTTTCTTGTTTTGTTCTAGAGCGTAGTTTTGGTGTTGCGACTGGAGTCTGGAGCTATCGGCAATTGCTTCTTGGCGGGGGGTCGGGATGAATGCTTGGATGATATAAATGTTGCGGAGATGATGCTGGAGAGCAACACTTCTATTGCAGGAGGAGTAGGAGGTGCGAGAGTGCGCGTTTAAGAAACAATCCAGCTGGTAGTAATACAATCTGTCAAGAAGTAAACAAGTGCAACGAGTGAGTCAGTCGCACTTGTACGTCTCTTGGGTAACTTTGATGTGGCTTCGATTGTTTTCGGGTTGGCTGAGCAACGCGCTTCTGCAAGGGTTGAAGAGTTGGGAAGCGGTCAGAACAGAACTTTTACAAATCCTAAAATCATTCAGGGAGTGTCAGTCAAAAGTTCGACAATTCGGGAGGCCGACATCCTTTATTATTTTTTTCCTCGGTAGCCACCCGCTCATTCGCCCATGGTTGGTGCCAGCTCATACATCTCAGTCTCATACCATTTCACGTCCAGGCTTCCTTGCACACTTGGGAATGGATTTAGAACAATATTCAGACGACGCATAATTTGAGTTCGGAGTTTGGGCTTTATGACTTCATCTATTCGTGTATTGCCCTGGTGGGTGGTACTCTAGAAGTAAATCAACCACATCCATTCACCGCCCGCTCTCAGTTGATCGCGACGGGACTTCCAGAGTCACGAAATCACCTGATTACGGCACTTCTGAAAGACCTCATCTCCACAAACTGCTTATTTGTGCATCGAAAGATTGGTTGTACATGTCACAACGCACACCCGGCCCAACTTTGAGCTGCAGCTTTGCCCAATCCCGTGCTTCAAACGTATTGGTTACCGGAGGAGCTTCTAATTGGCTCGGATTCATTCCGCGGGTCTCCCTCCAGCTGTTTCCGCCACAGATAACCCTGGATCTAAGGATATTCGTAGTAGGGTTAGTCAAATTATATTTATATAAAACATAATAATCCAAGATTTTTCGGCATATAAATAACGTAGAATCCAGATCATATTTCCCCACTTTTAGTTATAAAAATACACCTAAAATAGTACTAAAAACCTATAATTATATACTAAGTTAAGAGATAAAAAAGCTATATCTTAGCTCTTATTTTACTCCCTTCTTGTTTAGCGCGCTTAATTCCCTACTTTCTACTAAAAGAGTATTTTATATAACTTATAGTTATAGTTATAGATATATTTTAATTTATAATTATTTATAAAGGGGCTAAAAAAAGTTAGTATTTACTTTATTTTATTAGTTTAAATTACCTATAAATAAGTTTATTTCTAGCTCTCTTATATTTACGATTCTTAGTATAATAATTATAAGTGAACTACGATTTTATACAGTAATTATAATTATATAATCTAGAAGAGATTTATATAATTATATTTTTTCTAATTTATAAAAGTAAGTTTTATAAGAATATAACTAAGGTTATTTTTATAGTAAAGGTTTTAGTATAAGTAATAATATAATAATTTATTTAAGTATTAAGAATATATGATATAGTACTTACTAATTTATATATAAGGCTAGTAATTTACTAATTTTTATTACTAAGTATTAGTTTTATACTTAAGAATATAAAGAATTTATATAGAATTATTAAATTTCTAAGAATTAAAAAACTTCTAAGAATATAAGTAAGAGTATTTTAGAACCTAAAAATCTAAGGATTATTCTTATATAGAGGTATCCTTAGTATCTTTACCTAAAAAATCGGGACCTAAAATTTAAGGATAACCTCTCCCTTACTTAATCAGGCACTTACCACGTGGCCTCACCCCCAACTCCACTCCCGGTGGACAAGAAAAGTAGTAGAGATTCATTTTTAAAACTATTAACGTAAGTTAATTCCAAGTACAAAAATATTCAAAATATCTAGAACAATTGCCCTCATTGTGCTATCGTTTTCGATAAATCATTTTAATTGTTCCAAATAGATAATATAATATAGTGGTTTTTAGTAAAGTTAGAATAAGATAAAAGAGATCTCTGCCACTTTTCTTGTCCACCGGGAGCTCCACTACTTTATTTGAGAACGCCCTCGAAAGTACTTGAGTACAAACTTGTGCCTCGATAATGCCCCTCCTTCGGAGATCATACCGGGTTGCACCTACATATTCTTAATCATGAATGTCAGCCATCGATTGGCTCTGCAATCTCGTAATAAAAATCTTCTGCATAGAATCCCCACGCCCATGTGTCAATGATGATAGTGAAGCAGCCCCCAGTCAGAATGACAATTCACTGGCCCGATATCGCCACCAAATGCCTCATCATAACCAATGGGCTTGGTACGGGAGCTGGCGGCGGGGTAGTCGTAAGCGGGTCGCTTCGTTTCCAACTACCTTACCTACCAAGCTAGTACTTATATGGGTCGCTTATGTAGTTTAGCCTCGAAATTGACAAACGCCCGATATCTTTCGAGTTGGTTACTCTCCTCCTCTTCTTCCGTTTGACAAAACCACTTCAAAACTCCGCTGCAATGCAATGCAAATGGCTGATCTTCATCCTCGCCCCTGCTTCTGTGTAGCCATATCTTGCTTTATCGTCCCTCTTTTTTCACTCTCGTAGGGGATTTAATACTTTGCGGAATCCTCCTTGCCTTGCTTCACTTGACCTTCAAACCAACTTTTATCAATATGAATTTTCAAGACCCCGACCCAAGCGAGAGCCAACCCGAAACCGACGGTTCGACATCAGTCGCATCTGAGAAAACTTCTCCGGCGGTCAGGGATCCCGAACAAACACTGCAAACAGACACGACTGAGGATGTTCCACCAGATGGGGGTTATGGTTGGGTGTGTGTTGCCATTGTATTTTTGATTAATGCGCACACGTGGGGAGTAAATAGCGTAAGTCAACCGTATATGAAGGGCGTGTGGTTGATTTTGATAAAGTGAGGTTACGCTGAGAAGATGGTACTGTGAAATCGAATTGGAGACTCTGTGGGGCAGATTGTCTTCAATTATTGCGCGCTTGAAAAAATTGGCTAATCACTTTTACAGTCTTATGGTGTATTTCTTGCCCATTATCTAGAAGCAAATACCTTTCCAGGTGCAACTCCTCTCCACTATGCCTTTGTGGGTGGCCTTTCCATTTCGATGGCCTTCGTCCTTGCTCCTCTGGCAACATTCACCACGCGAAAATTTGGCACCAAGACGGCACTGTTCATTGGGGTCACTTTCGAAACAATTGGCTTATTGGGTGCTTCTTGGGCAACTGAGATATGGCATCTTTTTCTTACCCAAGGTCTTGCTTTCGGGTTCGGCTTAGGCTTCCTATTCGTCTCAAGTGTTGGGATCATACCTCAATGGTTCGTTGAGAAGCGCTCATTCGCGAATAGCATTGGGGCTGCAGGAAGTGGTATTGGTGGCCTGGTATACTCACTTGTCGCAAATGCCATCATTCAGTCTCTTGGATTGGGGTGGGCTTTCCGGATACTGGCTATAGTATCTTGTGCCGTCAATGTCATCTGCGTCATTCTTATTAAGGATGTGAGTCGCCTTTTCCACCTTTCAATCTCATTTCCATTACCCATTGGGGTTTTGTCGTTTCACAACGCCAGCATTTCCAGGGTGTTTCAGTGACACCTCGTCTATCATCTGGCCGTCTGTTGATAGTAACTAATTCTCATGTAGCGCAACAAGCATGTGGGTGCCATTCAAATCCCATTTGATATCACCCTTCTTAAGCGACCTCAATTTCTACTTGTCCTCGCATGGGGGTTCTTTAGCATGCTTGGTTATATTGCTCTTTTATTCTCTCTGCCCAGTTATGCAAGAAGCGTTGGTTTATCAGCGAAGCAGGGCTCTATCCTTGGGGCCGTCTTGAATCTTGGCCAAGGTAATTTATTCCACTGCCGGTTACATACAATCATACTGTAATGCTAACAAACCTTCCAGGTATTGGCCGTCCAACCGTCGGGTACTTTAGTGATGCCTTCGGCAGAATCAACATGGCAGGAACCTGTACCTTCCTTGCCGGACTCTTCTGCTTCGTCATTGTAAGCTTCTCACCTAGACTCTCCTTCTTTGCAGACCTAACATCCTCCAGTGGATCTTCGCAAAAGAATTCGGAGTCCTCGTCTTTTTCGCTCTGATCGTCGGAACTATGTCCGGAACGTAAGTCCATCCCTTCAATCCCCCATCTACTATAATCTCACAACCTCCAGTTTCTGGGCTACAATTGGCCCCGTTGGCGCGGAAGTAGTAGGTCTTCAAATCCTCCCCTCGGCACTATCATTAGTTTGGCTGGCCCTCGTACTCCCTTGTACATTCGCCGAGCCCATTGCTCTCCAGTTACGCCGAACATCTGGCAACATCTACCTAGATGCTCAGATATTCACCGCTTGCATGTACGTAGCTGCCGCTCTCTGCATGTGGATCCTCCGCGCATCAATGGTGCGAGAAAGACAGAAGAAGATGGTGGAGAAAGTAGGAAGGGGAAGTACAGAGAGTGGTGTTCTTGGTCCTGGGACGGAAAGAGGGGAGTCTGGGGCGGCATTGGAGAGGGTGAAGACGGTGGAGAAGGTAAAGGGGTTATGGAGTTGGGAGAGTATTTGATCTGGTCTGATTTTATTTTATTTGATGATATCAAGCGTTCGGCGCGAGAATTTGTGTGGTGAGATGGATGAAAATTAATGAGTAAGTGGAGATTAGGGATGCACTTTATTATAGATACCCGGGTCTCGTTTTAGTAGGCTGTTTAGATGGGAGGGAGCGTGGTTGGTTATTTGCGTGGGATCTTCTGTGGGGGGGATCTTGATGGGTAGAGGTGTGGGTGCGAAAAATTAGTAGATGAATATAATTATCTTATTTCTTGGACTAATTTCTTCTTTCTTTTCTGTCTGGATTGACTTTTGTATTAACGATCTCGGCAGAGGACTTTCCTATCATTTCTCCATACGAGAAAAAGTTAATACGTCCGTTTTTTTCTTTCTGTCATACTCCATACTCATAATTCTTATACAATTGTCCCCGGTGTGAAATCATTCAAGTAATTCTAATCAAAGGATTTCTTAAGACTTTCTTCGACTTCTGCGGTGTACTTGAACGGTGGAGAAAGTAAAGCACGAATCTACGTTGACTACTCGAGTACTGTACTATCTTAGGGCCTGTTTTCCGAGACGATATTGAGCCGCAATATCGTCGAATGGCATATTATGTGGGCCATATTTGGCTGTACAAGACCCCGTCCACGTATAGAAGCTAAGTGCCTAGTAAACTCTATTCGTAGTATATTGAGGTATAATACTTCTCCCACTAAAAGATATGGTAAAAGGATATTTTGGTCAGACTAAAATATCGTCCTTAGTATCGTCCTTGCGAGCGCTCTATATACCCTATTACTAGTATATTTCAGCGTGTATCGTACTACCTAGGCTACAAACTACTAAATTCTTATCTTTATAAGCTAGCTTTTTTAGTTTAGGGGACTAAGCCGCGTATTTGCTGTCGAATACGCTACCTCCCGGTGGACAAGATAAGTGGCAGACTTGGCGTTGGAATTTTATAGAGATGCACGCAAAATTCCAACGCCAAGTCTGCCACTTATCTTGTCCACCGGGAGGCTACCTTATATTATTGTGTAGCCACCTAGGGTTTTTTGCCCTGTTAGGCTCTATTACCCTAAAGCTACAGCGTGTGTGCCCTGAAGGACTTTTCGAACTTTTCCTGTCTTACGAATTTGGCTTGTGGAGTACGAGAGCCACTTTTGCCCCACGAGCCCGTGGATACGCCTAGTGGACCTTCCAAGGACGCCAATAAGTATAGAGATTGTGGCTCGAGATTCTGGGAAAACAGGCCCTTAGCTCACCAGCTCTCTCAAAATCCCCGATCCCAACACCAACACCAACTACCAGCTCGAAATTCAGCCTCAGCCGCTGTGTACAACGCCCCCGTCCCTAAACAAAATATTCCGAATTCTACACCGCTAAAAGTCTGATGTAATCACATCACAAGACAAGACAATTCTCATTCTACCACTGACTACCAGCGTATTTAGGCAGCACCGTTTGCAGTATCCGAAAGAACGAAAAAAGAAAAAGAAAAGAAAAGAAAGGATGAGAAGAGGGCCTATAAAGGAAAATTATTCCCGGGCCTGTTTTGTAAAGTATGAGAGAGGAATCCGAGGCTGACAGGTCTTAATGGGTACCTAGTTGTTGGGACCTAGGGAGTATCTTGATGCATTTTGAGGGCTGGGCTGGATTTTCTAGCTATGGTCCCTATGGTACTCGATCAGGTATAAAACCTTCTACTTTAACTAGTATAAATTTAGTAGCTTTTAATAGAACCTAGTAATCCGCGCTACTTATATAAAACCTATAACCCCGAAACTATATTTCCTAACCTGTCACGAATCACATGCTCACGTGATACTTGTCATAATAAAGAGGCGCAACCCTCGACAGGCACATCCAGGTTTCTTATAGCAAATAGGGATTGCTTAGGCCAGCTAAGCGATCCATGGATTTCATTTGGTTGTTGTCACGTGATGGACCCCGATGGATCCAG